AATAGATTTTCACACAATGTGTAAACTTTGCTGTATATGTGCTACGTTTCCCGTGTCATGAAATAATGCATAGACAAAATAATGTTTTTCCTGTCAGAAATTCAATGGGCATCTAAAGCAAAGTGACAGGTGGTTAAATAGCTGCATTTAAAGGATGTCAAGAAGATTTTTTGGACAGGTACCAAAACCCGATGCCAAAAAGAAGGCCTAATACCATCTGTTTTGTAAGCAGAGAGATGCAATTTTACATTAGGTTTTAAATGACATAAAATGCCAAATGCATAACCTTGATTTGTGGGTCAAATCTAGCTTATCTAGATTGTGGATGTGTTTATTTACTAGCACAGTTCCTGACCCAGAGCCCATTCAGGTAAATGAAGGCACTTTCAGTCAGACCCATTTTTAGGTAATAGGAAGTTTCTGAGTTGCATTTAATTTTGTTTTGTTTTACATGTACATCCAGATGCAATGTGGATTTAATTAATCCAATTTCATTGCATTTTAATGTACACATTTGCATTGTGTTTATTGGCAATGGGCTTTATCCATTTGTTCAGCGCTTTTTATACCCAGTGAAACTACTGAATATTTAGAGATCTATATACTTCCTAGCAGAAATGAGAAGTGTAGCTCTGAATGAAACAGCATGATTAGGAGTTCTCAGACACAAACTGGGGATACGACTAAAATGTCAAAACATAGCTGAATAATATAGTGGAAAATTGATATCCATATTTTAAAATAATAAACTGTGCAGTACTAAATTATTTTAAAAATAATGTGAGAAGGCATTTTAGATGGTACGTTGAAAATGAAAATATACTTTCATATAAAGACCAGTGGATGCTGGAGGGCTACTTGGAAAAAAAATAATGAATCTGATAAATTCAGCCACTTCTTCATGCTCATAAAAAGTGCCTTTGAAATTATGATTATTCAGGTTTAGTGTAATATTTAGAAATACTCATTGTACAGTTTTCTCTTTTTTGTGAGGAGTCCGTTTGGCTTACATGGGATTGCCCAGATAATCACACTGTTGTTTCTGTCCTAGTGTTAATGTTAGGCATGAAATGTGAGTTGCCGTGTTTACTCTTCTTTCAACGACTTGGCCAAAGCAGCTGAAACATTCTGCGTTTCGTGTGGAGTCACTTAGCTATGAACTCATTAAAAAGAATGGCCCCTTCTCCCTTCTGTTCGTGGGTGCTGGGTTCGGCTCTGGTGCGCACACTGCAGCTCTGGTGGTGTCACTGGGTTTGCTGTTGCTTCAGCTGCCGTGGCCTGTTCCTTTCCTCTTCTGACGTTTGGCCAAAACACAAGATCTCTGCTCTTCTTTTATTTTTTTTTTTTATTTGTGGATCCAAGAGAAGTTGTGCTTAATCAAAGGCTAATCCACTGAGCCAAGGGAAAGCTCATCCCTCCGAAGGGTACCTGCTTCAGCTTCATCTCTGCCTATCTCCTCTGTAGTGTCCAGCTCTTCCTAGGGTGGACACGTTCCAGCTTCACTGGAGCTCAGCTAACAGGAGAGGAACGGCTGTGGCACGCCGTTGAGGGCAAAAGACCAAATCCCAGCCCTGCATTGGTCCTGTGCCTACAAAGTATGCGTGTGTGGTGTCAGGGGGTGAGTACACTCCACTTGTCTGGAGATTTGGCTTTTTTATTCCTCTCTTCCCTAAATCTCCTCCAGTGAGGGATCCCCCAGAGATGGTCTTCTGAGGTCTGGCAGAGTTTAATTATTCCTGCAAGCTTTGTAGGTGCCAACAGCAGGCATGTGGGCTGGAGCTGATCTTCACAATACTTTCCACTGTTCAGATGCAAGCTCCTTGCTTGGCTGATGGTATCTGATGCAAGGTGAGATGAGTTTCTGGGGCTGGCAGGTAAGACCTGTCTGAACTGGGTATCACTAGGGCAGAATAAGCATGTTCTCATCATGAAGCTCAGCATCTCCAATTCCTGAAGGTCACTGCTCAGCTGTGGATGCTCAGCCCTCTTTTTCCTATCACTAGCTCAGAGCTTCTATAGAAGGAGGGTCTGCTTTTTTTCTGACCTGCTAGGAAAATGCCTGCCTTCCAAACGGTAAGGTAGCTTTGGAAGAGCTATTATGCTCTAAAGCAGTGGGTATGGTATGGAGCAAGGATGCAGGCAGTACAAGCCAAGAATACAAATTGAAAACTGACAGGCCAGCATCAGTCTGCGTTTCTGTGCCTGCCTGATTTCCAAATGCCTGAGATCCACGGAGACAAGCTAGGTACTGAAAAGTGGGGTCTGAGTGGAACTTAGATACCTGCATTCAAACCCCTGTATGGCAAATTCCTCAACTCAGGCAGCTGCAATACCCAGTAGCCTACATTCATTCAGCACCTTCTGTTTGGATGACAGAGTTCCCCAAAAGGGACACCTTGCTGGGGCACCTCGGCACCCTGCTCCCTCCCAAGCTCTGCTGCAATCCAGACACAAGCGAAATAGTAGGAGAACGTCTGTGATGTGCGCATGCACAGTCTTACGCAGAGCTCAGGAGGCACACTTTGAAGTTTTAAACTTTCAAATTTGGCCAGTGCTACCAGCCACCTTTTCTCCAACACTTTGCTGGTCACAGCACTCAGCGAAGAAGTGGGAGAGTTATCCCCAAAGTGCCCCATCCCCAAGAGAACGTTCTCTGAGCAGGGACCCTATGCCTCTGAAACCCTGTCTATTTGCAAAAGACCAAAGGAGAAAAAAGGCCCAAGGTGTATGAGCGAAATACCCAAGTTGGCTTCTCTGATGGGGCAGTCTCGTCGCTGCAATTTGTAGTCCCTTCAGGGCACCCTGACAAAGCCATCCTTCTCAGGTAGGAGGTCTGGTGCATCCTGCACCCAACAAGTCTCTCTGCTTCGGTGGAGAGAGGTTGTTTAACGCTGGTCCTAGGTAGAGAGGGACACCAAAGTGCTAGATGAAAGCAGGAGTTCAGACAAGTTTTCACCTCCTCCTTTTTATGTTTAAGGGATAAAATAGATGAGACATATTGAAACATGGGAGAAACCGGGCTAAAGAAAGCACTGGACACGTAGAGGGCCCAGGCTGGTGCCTCCACTGCAGTGAGCCGTGCAGGTGCCCAGGCAGGGCATTGCAGGGGCTGGAGGCAGCTCAGAGGACTTTTCTTGAGGGCCTGGTCAAGGGGGCCCAGGCTGGGAAGCTGACAGTGTCAGGCTGTCTTTTTTGACAGTCTAACGAGTACCAACGCTGAAGACATTCATGAGGTGAGCTGTAAGAACGTTTGTTTGACGAAGAGCGTTTTCTCTGCCACCTTCCCTTGGTATATATCAAAAAAAAGGATTTATGGATATTAATAGGAATAACACTTTGTGATGACTGATTTTTTTCAGATCAGTCTCTGTTTGAGATCTAATGAAGGCAGATGAATGCACAAAGTTTGACAGGGCTGATTGTTGTGAATCTTGTGCTCCAGGGATCTGAGAAGACATTAAGAAAACATTGCTACATTTTGAAAAGAAGAGCTTTTAAAATGGTTAGAATGGAACTATTCTGAAATCTGTCATTTAAAAGAAATCAGTTTGTATCTGCTGAAGAGATACTGTAAGCTTGGTCATGAAATGTGTTAATTTCTGTAGGAAATAACAAAATTAAATCCTGCTTTAACTGAAAAAGCCAATTCAGCCTTAACTGTAAAGCTGCTAGCAATGTCTCCACAATATAAGAAATATAATAATTATGATAATTAATAAAGATAATAATATAGTAAAACCTTGCTAATTCGTACTAATGACTCAGAGGCTGCTTACTAATTACTGAATTTTGTGGATAAACAAGCCAGAATAATGCAGCATAAAATACACTTTGTTCCGTTATTTTGACAGCTCCAATTTGGTTTTAATTATTTATACTTCATAAAATACTAGTCACCGTACTTGGGAGGATTTTACAAAAATAATGACACTTTAATAACTGGACATGCCTGTTCAGCATCTGCCGAAACATAGAGGAAAACCAGCCACTTCTGGACGTGTGCAAATCAGGAAGAGTGTGGATTCGCAGAACATAGACCAACAATATTGTAATGCAAAATATGATACGTTTCTATAACGCCTTGGACTGAGAGACCTCAGAGCAGCTCTGCCTGGCAGAGAACGCTTGCAAGCAGCCCTGCTTTGGTGCTAAACACAGATTGATCGATACTGATTCTTCAGAAAATCATACAGTTTGAAAAATAATAAATGTGAAGTGGTTTTGTGCCCAAATCAATTTTTATCCTCAGATCAATTTTTTCCACCATCACGAGGGCTAAAAGCTTGTTTTAATTTCAATGAGAGCTATGATTTTTACATAATCACTTGATTCTTAGAGCTGGCATTCAAAAAAAAAAAAACCCAACCCTTCCCCCTCATTCCAATTTTGATAGGAGTTGGCAATGAAAGAAGCTTGTTGAAGAATTAAATATTTGTATAACACAGGTTTCCAGCTGCAGAGTAAGGCTGTAGAGAATCCTGTTGGGGTGCATGCTGCAATGGTGTCTTCACAGTCAGAGTATTTTTTTTTTTTTTTTTTTAAAAGTCATTTCCATCAGAGATTTGCTAGAAAACAGAATTTATCAGCCCTGTCCTAGCTGCCTGAGTGTAAGGATTGCTTACTGCACCTCACTATATCTGGAACAGAATAGCATAGTGCAAAACCGCTCCATACATAGCATACGCCTCTGGGCCGGTTTCCTCCGGGGCCCATCGTGAGATGAGTTTCCGCACGGCGAAGGGAGCTCCAGCTCCTGCGTGACAGCCCGTGAGCTCAGGCGCAGGCTTGCCGAGGCTCAGCACCTGGGGCCACGCGGGGTCAGTCTAGGTGTCACTAACCCACATCTCTCCCCCCACGTCCCGGGCATCACTCAGGGTGGGGGCGGTGGCACCGGACGTCGGGGGAAAACAGAAAGAAACAGGGAAGCGGCGACATAAAGCCGATACTGGAGCGGAAGAGAATAGGCAAACCGAGCAAAAGGAAAATATGATGAGGCCAACATGAGAAGGGACAGAAAAGGAAGCAGGAGACTAGATGGGCCTACAGCATGGAGGTGGTGGCTGACGTGTCAGAAGCAAGGTAAGGGGGAACGAGTGACAGCTGCTAATATGGAGGAACCCAGTGCCCACCAGGCAGGGCCTAGCCCGTCTTGCCCAAATCGGGCCCCCTTTCCACCTGCTGGACCTTCGATGCGAGTCGGCCCTGCCAGCCATCACCCAGCTGGTCCTCACGGTAAATCAGAAGTGCAGGGCATGGCCCAGGGGAGCTGTGTCATCTTTCTAAGGCCGGTGTCTTTAACAGACAGCGATGTCTGGGTGCAGCACGGCTGCTTGGAGCGTAGCACCTCCGTCGGTGACCAGGATCTCCATTGACTTCCTGGTGAGGGTCTGCGCCCCGAAGGAAGGGGAGGCTTGACGCCTCTCCCCAGCGAACTGGGGCTGGAGGAGAGTTAAACGGCGGAGGGGTCGGACTTCCCGCTCGCTTTTCTCCAGCCTTGGCCGGGGCGAGGG